GGCTCTAGGGTTAGAGCTAATGTTCTAGGCCTAGGGCTAGGGCTAGGCCTAGGCCTAGGCCTAGGGCTCCCTACCTCCAGGTCCAGGAAGACCTCGTCCAGCAGGAACTGGCAGCCCTGCGTGGCGACCTCGCTGAGCGTGCGGTCGATGGAGGCGTCGGCGGGCAGGGCGGAGCCGGAGTACTTCCTCTTCAGGCTGCTGATGGACTCCCTACACACGGGTTAGGGTTAGGGTTAGGCAGGGGGTTAGGGCTAGGCCAGGTTAGACACACATCCAGAAACACAGGCCCCCCCCCCCCTTCTGAGGCCAAAATAAAACCAGAACAAATCAACCTTTTAATGTGGAAAAAAATAATAATTTTGCTTTAACATTGAATATGGAATCCTTCCTTCATCTATCTATCTATCTATCTATCTATCTATCTATCTATCTATCTATCTATCTATCTATCTATCCTTCGTTCCTTCCTTCCTTCCTTCCTTCGTTCCTTCCTTCCTTCCTTCCGGAGTACTTCCTCTTCAGGCTGCTGATGGACTCCCTACACACGGGTTAGGGTTAGGGCTAGGCAGGGGGTTAGGGCTAGGGCTAGGGCTAGGGCTAGGCAGGGGGGGTCACACCCAGAAACACAGGACCCCCCTCTGAGGCCAAAAGTAAAACCTGAACAAAGCCAAGACTGAACAAATAAACCTTTTTAATAAAAACTAATTTTGCTTTAACATATAAATATAGAACAAACAACTCTTATTACATTATTTATTATATTATAATATATTATATAATAATATATTATATATAACTTAATAGTGGAGACATGCTAAATCACATTTAAAATAAAAGAACACATAAATAGACATATATTTTAAACATTTTTCTATTCGCAGCCTTCTGAATTAAATATCTAAATACAGGCTGCTGATGGACTCCCTACAGACGGGTTAGGGTTAGGGCTAGGGTTAGGGCTAGGGTTAGGGTTAGGGTTAGGGTTAGGGCTAGGGTTAGGCAGGGGGGGTCACACCCAGAAACACAGGACCCCCCTCTGAGGCCAAAAGTAAAACCTGAACAAAGCCAAGACTGAACAAATAAACCTTTTAATATGGAACCAAACTAATTTTGCTTTAACATATAAATATAGAACAACCAACTCTTATTACATTATATATTATATTATAATATATTATATATAACTTAATAGTGGAGACATGCAAAATCGGAGTTAAAATAAAAGAACACATAAATGGCATTCATCTATGAAATTTGATTTTAAAACATTTTTCTATTCGCAGCCTTCTGAATTAAATCTCTAAATGAAATTAGCTTGTCCAAAAAGCTTTCTTTCTTTCCTTCCTTCCTTCCTTCCTTCCTTCCTTCCTTCCTTCCTTCCTTCCTTCCTTCCTTCCTTCGTTCCTTTCTTCCTAAATCAAATTAGCTTGTCCAGAAAGCTAGCTTGCTAGCTTCCTTCCATCTTTCCTTCCTTCCTTCTATCTTTCCTTCCTTCCTTCTATCTTTCCTTCCTTCCTTCCTTCCTTCCTTCCTCCCTCCCTCCCTCCATCCTTCCTTCCTTCCTTCCTAAACCTTCTTGTCCATCCTTCTCCTGTTTCTTTCTTTGGGTCATGTTTGGTCATTATCACAGTGACAGCTGTAGTGTTTCCTGCTGTCACAGAGGAGTTTCAGCAGCAGGGCATTATGGGAGTTGTAGTACCAGCCCTTAATGTACAGTATAACAGCTCTCTGAGTCATTTGGTATAGTCTACCAGGCCAAATATAATTACAACATGGGCCAGAGTTTGACACCCCTTAGAGGCTCATATAGGGGGTTAGGGGGTTACCCTAACCCTAACCCTAACCCCCCCCCCGGAAAAGGATCTTACTTGAAGGTCTGGCAGTTGTTGATGATGGCGATCATGTACTGGACGTAGCACTGGGGCAGCTGCCTGTCCCTCAGGTGCTCCTCCTTATAGGCCACCGCCTCCTCCCGGTACCTGGAAACAGGTGTTCCAGTCAGGCCTAACCCAACCTAACCCTAACCCACCCCAGCCTGGAGGGGCCCCCCTTTTAGAAAAGTACGTATCGGCCAGGAGAAAATGATCCAGACTCCAGATCCAGATTTTATTCAAATAATTCATTCCACTTGGCTGTGTAGTTCCCCAATATCCAGCCCCTTTAGCATTAGCATTAGCATCTCCTAGCCCACAGGCCTTTTTGTGTATTTTGCAATATTATTTGCACTTTTGACTGTTCACTGACGCCATTTCAATTTGTTATTTATCATTTTATCTTACTTTGTGTTTGTCCCTGAATAAACAGCTCAGTGTGTCTTTACCAAACTCCCCTAATTAAGCTAGTTGTTATCAGAGTAAATCCCTGTTCAACATGAGTCTGACAGCTAAGTAAGCAGATAAATAACTTTAGACTTTAGGACAGGCTCTGATATAATATAACATATAATATATATAGCATATAATATATATATCATATAACCAACACACGTTCATTAAATCTAGTTTTAAAATAGGGATCTGTAATATTGTGAGGAGTCCTAAACTTTTGTAATTAATACAAAATGACATATCACATCAAACTAAGTTAAAAAGTACCTGATGAGGAAAGAGTTCATCTGTTTGAGGCACAGCTTCAGGACCTGCTCTTTGAAGTCTCCATCGATCTGAGCAGCCACCTGCAGGTTCTGCTCAAACATCTGAGGAGGAGAGAGGGACACAGACTCAGATTCAGCCTCTCTGGATCTGGAGACGTGTGGAGAAACTTAGAGGACTCTGAGAGAGTCCATGAGGATTATCCAACTGGTGGATATCAACCTTCAGACTTCCAGTATGCATGAAACCATTATATTCTGTATTATTCTGCATTATTCTGCATTATTCTGCATTATTCTGCATTATTCTGCATCATTTTATTAATTATTCTGTTATATTCTGCATTATTCTGCATTATTCTGTATTATTCTGCATTATTCTGCATATTATTTTGTATTATTCTGAATTATTCTGAATTATTCAGCATTATTCTGGATTATTCTGCGTTATTCCGCATTATTCTGTATTGTTCTGCATTATTCTGTATTATTCTGCATATTATTCTGTATTATTCTGCATTATTCTGTATTATTCTGCATTATTCTGCATTATTCTGCATTATTCTGCATGATTCTGTATTATTCTGCATATTATTCTGCATTATTCTGCAATATTCGGTATTATTCTGCATTATTCTGCATGATTCTGCATGATTCTGCATGATTCTGAATTATTCTGCATTATTCTGTATTATTCTGTATTATTATGCATTCTCAGGCTTAATCTACAGGCTGTCTCTTCTCCAGTGGTTGCTGTTAAATAACTACTTAGTTTTTCTATGTTATTGATATTTTTTCTATGTTATTGATGGTTCCTGGGGACCTGGAAGACGATGGCGGGCAGCGTGGTTTGGTAATATCCGTCCTGGTCGGCCTCGGGCTCCGTGTCCTTCATCCAGTCCTTTTTATCCGTTTCCAGGGCCTTGCGCAGCCAGCCGGTTATGTTGGACTGAATTAGGACGAGACAAAGAGAGTTTAGCCACAAATAAAAAGAATAATGACCCATTTCTAGTGTTCACATTCAATTACACTTTAATATACACTGCCCTCCACAATTATTGGCACCCCTATTTAAGATGTGGTTGAGGATTTCTAAAAATTCTCCTTTTTTTTTTAAACAACATAGAACCCAAATAAAAAAAGAGAAAAATCCAACCTTTTATTTAAGTGCATTACTTTGGTGGTAGAAATAAAATCACACATTTAGGAAAATAATAAAGGTGAAATCACGTGTCCCACAATTATTGGCCCCCCTAACAGTTATAATGAAAAATGTAAGAGATTTCCTTTAAATATATTTTTCTGTAGTTGCTAAAGTTTTTTTTTTTTTTTTTTAAAGTCCTCAACCACATAGGGGTTCCAATAATTATGGGACACGTGATTTCACGTGATTTCACGTTTTTTATTTTCTAAACGTGTGATTTTATTTTTACCACCAAAGTAATGTACTTAAATAAAAGGTTGCATTTTTCTCTTTTTTTTCATTTTGGGTTCTTTGTTGTTTTTTAAAAAAAAAGATAATTTTTAGAAGTCCTCAACCAAATCTTGAATGGGGGCGGGCAATAATTGTCCCACACGTGATTTCACGTTTTTTATTTTCTAAATTCAGGATTTTACTTTTACCACAAAGTAATGTACTTAAATAAAAGGTTGGATTTTTCTCTTTTTTTCCATTTGGGTTCTTTGTTTTAAAAAAAAAAAGAGAATTTTTAGAAGTCCTCAACCACATCTTAAATAGGGGTTCCAATAATTGTGGGACACGTGATTTCACGTTTTTTATTTTCTAAATTCTTTTCACGTTTTTTTATTTTCTAAATATGTGATTTTACTTTTACCACCAAAGTATTGTACTTAAATAAAAGGTTGGATTTTTCTCTTTTTTTTCATTTTGGTTCTATGTTGTTTTAAAAAAAAAGAATTTTTAGAGGACCTCAACCTCATCTTAAATAGGGGTTCAAATAATTGTCAGACGCGTGATTTCACGTTTTTCTTTTCTCAGCGTGTGATTCTATTTTTAATGTATACTGTATAATGTATAATGTACTTAAACACTTACTGTGAAGGTCTGCACGTATTTGCTGAGCAGCCCGTCCACCACCTCCTGGGGCAGAAGGGGCTCCAGGAGGTTAATGTCACACTCAGAGGACAGGTCCGGGTGGCCCATCATCTCCACACTGAAACACACAGAACCAGTTCTGAGGAGGAGCCAGACCTCCGGATATAGACTCAGATTCAGCCTCTCTGGATCTGTGTGGAGAAACTTAGAGGACTCAGAGAGTCCATGAGGGTTTATATCCGGCTGGTGGATATCAACCCTCAGACTTCCAGTATGCATGAAACCACTAGATTCTGCATTATCCTGGATTATTCTGCATTATTCTGCATGATTCTGTATTATTCTGTATTATTCTGTATTATTCTGCATTATTCTGTATTACTCTGTATTATTCTGCATTATTCTGTATTACTCTGTATTATTCTGCATTATTCTGTATTATTCTGTATTATTCTGCATTATTCTGTATTACTCTGTATTATTATACAAAATTCTGCATTATTCTGCATTATTCTGTATTATTTTACAAAATTCTGCATTATTCTGTATTATTCTGCATTATTATTAATTATTCGGTGATTACACACACACAGTTCTGAGGAGGAGCCAGACCTCCGGATATAGCCTCCTGAGACCCAAAGAAAAAATGTGTCTTCAAATTTATTTTTTGTTGTGATTTTCCATGTATTTGGACCTAAAAAAGACCATTACAATTTAAATTAAAAAATATATATTTTTAATTTTAATTTCATAGCATGTCCACTGTGGAGGACAACAGGACGATTTGCATGGGGAAATAGAACAGGCTTTAGATAATTAAATAATAAAAAAGAAGATGTTTTGAAAGCGATATTTACCTAAGAACTCTTAGGAAAAAAGTAAAGTTCCCAGCATGCAAAGCTATCACACACACATCACTGGAAAGCCCAGGATGTGCTCTACAGAACACTATAAGGCTGATAGGGTAACTCCAGATACTTAGGGGGGGACAGGTGGACAAAATGTCCACTATAATGGACATAAATGAATGGGCCGGGTCTCAGGAGGTTAAACCAGAAACATCCCAAACAAAACCAAACACAACCTCTTGTAGGTGTTCAGGACCCAGGTGAGCAGAGACACGATCTCGTTAGCCTCCAGGTCCTCGGAGGCCAGTTCTTTCACCCGACTGGACACCGCGTTGTGGTAGAGGCTGAAAAACCTGAGAGAGATCCAGTGTTAGCATTAGCATTAGCATCTGTAACCACAGGTCTGTGTCCTAACCATTAAGTTGTTATCAGAGCATTAGCATTAGCACTAGCATCTGTAACCACAGGTCTGTGTCCTAACCCTTAAGTTGTTATCAGAGCATTAGCATTAGCATTAGCATCTGTAACCACAGGTCTGTGTCCTAACCATTAAGTTGTTATCAGAGCATTAGCATTAGCATCTGTAACCACAGGTCTGTGTCCTAACCATTAAGTTGTTATCAGAGCATTAGCATTAGCATTAGCATCTGTAACCACAGGTCTGTGTCCTAACCATTAAGTTGTTATCAAACCATTAGCATTAGCATCTGTAACCACAGGTCTGTGTCCTAACCATTAAGTTGTTATCAGAGCGTTAGCGTTAGCATCTGGTTTAGCTTCCGTTACCTGTTGAAGGTGTTGTAGTGGGGGGGGAAGCACTGCACCATGAGGTTCTTCACAACCACCAGGTCGTCCAGGACGTACTTCCTGGTGATTTCCAGAAGCCGAACCAGCCACATCTTATCCGCCTCCCTGGTCACCGACTGGGTTCCTTCAATACGCGTGCTCACGGTTCCCTCCAGCACCTGGGAGAACAATATCCAGAT